CGGATCTGGAAAATCGCTGTGTTTTTACAGCAGATCCGCACACAGTAGGTCGACTAGCTTGTTAATTTTAATTTGTTTACAAATCTCAGCCACGAATGTGTGTGTGTTTGTGTTTGTTTTTTTAAACCAGTAGTCGTTAACCCTCATAATTTATTATCAATTGCGATTGCAGGTCTTGCAAGAGTACATGGGTCCTGCTACGAACACGAGAATTTCACAGGACCTCCATTTTTCGCCGCTAATTCCTGCTTCTTCGAAGCTTCGTGTTGCAAGCACGAGAAGGCCTGCCACTATTTACTTTTTCAAAAACAGCGCCCCTGAATAATCTGTTCAGAAAGTAAGCGTTCGGCCTTTTACTTTTTTTTTTCTAGAACTATATCTATAGTTTATTACAGTTTTCTCTTCATATTATTGCGGACGGAATAGATTCATGTTCGATGCCTGTATTTGATTTCATGGACTTTTGGTCGGTGGGATGGGAGCTCATTAAACAATTGACATTTATACTGTAGGAAGATGATTTGTCTTTCTTGTGTATATTGAATGGAATATATATTACAAGAATTTTGTTATTATTTGTAATTCTTTATGGATTGCACAGTAAGCGATGTCTAATATAGTTACGAATCGATTAATGTGATACTGGTTTTTTTCATTAATTTGGTACATACAAAACCTAGACACATATGAATCGGAACCGCCGAAAATTGCTGGATATGTAAACACTGGATTGTAAGTTAATTTTCTGGTAAAATTGATTATATAAGGCTTGAAACTGAGAGTTTAAAGAAATTCAATGGTTCCTTGTCACAGTTCTTATGGTTTATCATCGTAAATATTGCCTTCGTTGTATTGATAATTAATTTTCTGTGACCGTGTAGGTGATAGATTTCATTTAGGGATACTTTCAGAATATATCTCTCGCAAATTTTACTTTGCCCCAAAAAATTATGATCGTATACTTTTTTGTTCGCTGGGCATCTTGAGAAAAATGTGATACTTGGTTCTTGTGATGTTTGTTTTGTGATTATTACGAACAAGTTTAATTTCTATAGATAACTAGTCATGACTTTTTAGGTGATGTAAATGAATTTTATTTATATACATATATAGTCACATGTGGTCATGTACACGTAGTTATATATAGTCACATATAGTAACAAGAATGAACACAACTATGTGACTATAGTTGACTACATATAGTCATATATAGTCATATGTAGTAACAAGGAGACATAACTACATGTGACTATAGTTCACCAAAGTAAATTTATCAATAAAGTATTTTCATTGTTTTTTTGTATTTTTCATGTAATGTAATTCGAATTTTGCAGGTATTTTTTAAGTTCACCAAAGTATTTTTTGTACAACCATCATCGAATCATGCAGTTATTTTTTGAGTTTTGATTTTAATTTTTTTTTTTTTTGTGTGTGAAGCTGTGAGTTTAATTTTAGGAGTCGACTTGTACATAAAACGCGATTGTTATGGCAAGAAATATAATAAAAAAAAAACTCGAAACTTGTTCCTGGTGGTGGTGCGACAAAACTGACTGTTCATCCATTGAAGGCATAGAAAAGGTAATGAATTTTAATGTGCTTCTTAATATATTGAATCACTGTTTATTGGTCCTCAAATGATTTGTTTACTTTTTTTTTATACCTAGGAGTATATGTAGATTCGTGATGAGAATATTTTGTTGGTAATATTATATTGATATTTTATTTATCGAGAATGAAATAGGTGACTACTTTTACGTGTGTTTTATCTATGGTGTTCCACTTCAACTTGCTTTGATCTTTGACCTTTGGTTATACGAAGAATAATGACTAGCATACTCTGTTTGTAATTTGATTTTGATAATATAAGCTGTCTCGTATCGCCTGGAGAACAAAGTCCGGTACTTGAAGGGACAAATAAAGTCACATACATGTATATAGTCACATGTGGTCATATACAGTAGTCATATATAGTCATGTGTAGTAACATACAGTAATATATGGTGTAGTCACATATAGTAATATATAGTCATGTGTAGTAACATACAGTAATATATGGTGTAGTCACATATAGTAATATATAGTCACGTGTAGTAACATACAGTAATATACGGTGTAGTAACATGTAGTAATATATAGTTATATATAAACTATGTAGTCATGTAGTCATATGTAGTCATTTATGAGTTATGTGAGGAGTATCTATGTATACCAGTAGGTGATAGTGCGTGTGTGCACATTTAAATTTGAAGCAAAATTCGTTGTTTGTTTAACTCTTTTTCCTTTTCACAGGTTTTGGTGTTTGAACTACTATGTAGTAAGTTTTTTCACAGGTCTTGGTGTTTGAACTACTATGTAGTAAGTTTTTGCGGAGTGGATTGTGTTCGTTGTTCAAAACAAGCGGTTCCCGTGTTGACAAGTGCGATTTGAGTCAAATTTAGTCGTATAGATAACTGTAGTTATGTATAGTTCCATGTAGTTATATATATTTATATAAAAGCTATGTGGTTTTCCTGATGAATAGTGATCTTGATGATTGTGTTTTTTTTTTTTTGACTTTTTTGTTAGGCATTAAATTATTTATAATATCAAGAATCAAATTTTGAATTTTTTTATTGGTATAGATGAATTTTTATATATATAATCAACGGTTTTTATAATCGATCGGCCATAACTTTGAGGTAAAAAAACAGTACATTGGTACATATAACTATACATGACTGTGGTATACTATAGTCATGTGTAGTCAATTTCAACACAGTAAATTAAAAATTAAAAAAAAAATTTAAATAATTAAAAATTAAAAAAAAAATTAAAAAATTAAAAAATTAAAAAATTAAAAAATTAAAAAATTAAAAAATTAAAAAATTAAAAAAAAGTTAAAAAACAAAATTAAAAAAATTAAAAATTAAAAATTAAAAATAATTAAAAAATACAAAAAAAGGTACGTATAAAAAAATAATAATAAAATAAAAATTTATATTTTTTTATTAAAAAATCTGAAAAAATGATAAATGCAGGTCTAAAAGTGTGGAGTGCAGTTAGCTATAATGCTGAACGCAGGGGTGAAATACTTAATGCAGTTTGCTGAAAATTGCAATTAAGGGCACAATAGTACTTTTGCCTCTCCAGGGGTGTATCTCAAAGAAAGAATTTTAGGGGTGGACTTATCCCTATATATTATCCATTCTAGGGGTGTATATCAAATGACCCCAAAATTTTAATATTAAAAGTTAGTCAGAATATTTATAGCTAAACATATTGTAGTAAACCTTGTATAATTAGTAATATATATTAAATTAGTAAACAAAACATATTCTTTGGTCATATCATGTAAAATGTATAATATCATATAATTTAATCTGGAATATTTTTTAATACAAATCCAAGTTTATGAATTAAAATACAAAATTTCCATAACAACACCAACCATGCAATTACGATAAGGGAATATTTCATATTAAATTTAACTAAATTCAAATTAAACTAATTCTTATTAAAATTAAATTGAAGAATAATTCTATTTAGGTTTCAGAGAATAAAAAATTATGTTTATTGTTTGAAGATGTTTAGGTAATAAAACAAATGGCATATAAATAATTAAATATGGCAAGCGGTGATGACATATTTTTTGATGGTTTATTTCTATCAATTAATTTACGAAAAAAACTCTATTGTTTAGATAATTACATGTAACTCCCTCAACTACGATTTTTTCTTACACCTCCACCCTTATGGTGTCAAATTCAACATAATCATCTAGATTTCGTGAAATGCGCTATAGTTTGTACTCGTTTTGTGTAAAAATACAGTTTCCGATGCACCACAATCTGATATATACAGGCCGAAAAACACATTACGATCACTGGATTCAAAATATGGAGTTCGAATAGGATAAAGCGGGTACAAAATTGATAATATTCCATATAATCTCGAAAATTACACTAAATTTGAAACCGCAAGGATGAACGTGTAAGAATATTTATAATTGAGTGGTGGTTGTAAATTGTAATGACCCTAACAGGAAGGCGGTTTTCGTAATTTAACCATACCTTAGGGATGGTTGTAATTTACCCTAATATATATTTCCGTCCTAATATACAAACTAAATAGAAGATTAAGAGAACAATAATATATACCTAGTAAACAAAAATAATTGGCTGAAATCTGATTAAAGAGAATGATGTTAAAGACTGCGTTGACCTCCGAATTTCCAAGCAAAGAACCTGTGTCCGCCATAGCCAAATAAACGGCAACATAGCCGCTATCTTTTCCAATAATGTTGTTGCGATCACGATAATTGTACCAATACCAATACCAATTTCAATATCAATTCCAATACCAAAATCAATCGCAACGGGTTTATTTTGACGGAAAAACTAACGAAAACTACCCTTATAAACCACAAGCGGTTTATGTGCTGATATTACGAGCACAAGGAGATTATCTGCAAAACTTGTAAATGTTATTTACCCTAACTAATAAAACAAAATCCTCTCGGGGAAGATAGGAAAGAAAGAAACAGAGTTGAATATCAGAATCTTTTATTTGTAGAGGAAATTAGCTAACATCTATTAGCAGCAAGTAAGGGATATTATTTTTTACTTTGACCTAATTGATTCCGATATGCAATGGATATTGTATTCTTTTACATTGCAGAAATACGGTCCGTATTATAGAATTGACATCATATATGATTGTCATTTTGTTCACCATTCGTTGTTGTTGCCATTTTTCTTCCCCGTTTTTCTTCACCACTCTTGTAATGTTGTTTATTTTTCTTCTTCATTCTTTGTCATTGATTATTTGACCCGTTTTTACGTTGGTGGGTCATTGTGCGCGAAACGCAATATTTTTTAGCAAGTTTTATCAAGATCCATGTTAATAAACATAGTTCAGTCGTAGTAGGACTAAACATTTGTCGGCATCGAGCATGACGAATAACATACTCTTAAACATTGAAAACATTACTTAGTTTAACATTGTGCAAGACAAAAGGGAGATCAATGTGAAATAGCTAGGACGGAGATTTCAATGTCTAAAAGACAAGAGTCGTTCACAATGAATCCTTTTATAGGATTATTAATAGTTTCAAGCTCAATGAACGTAAGCCATCCACAAGTACTGGTGGAAGCCGAAAACCAGTTGGTACCTGCAGGTAAGCGTGTACACACTGATAAGTGTTTAGAAGCAATACTCATTCATATTATATAGTAACGGTTTGCTTTACGGATTTAACTAGATAAATGAAGATTTCATAAGCAATAAGTAACGTAAGTAAACAACTAACGACAAAATGATCGAAAACGAGTTCAGGATTAATATTCATCCCATAGTCCTATATATATACATCCGAAAATATAGGCTGGCTTAGTGCAATTTAATCCCATATTTATTCCCCATATGTTCTTATTTAATTGCTCTGGACAATATGTTTGACAATTTTCTATCAGATTGTTACCGAAGTTACAAACTAAATTGAAAGTAAAAATATCAATCAGATCAAAACTCCTACAGTTAAACCTCTGTAAATTAATACAGTCGTGATTGACAAATTCTATTGATTTAGTGAAATATTAAAGTATCGAACTAGTAATTTACTAAAGTTAATTCAGTACGTTCTTACCGAGTCGGGACCGAAATAAATTATTAATTAAGCGAGATTATTAATTTTTCGAGTATTAATTTATCGAGGTTCGACTGTAGGTAGAAATTAAACTTCAATTGTTCCATTACATTTCTATTTTAGGGTGCATATGCATAACTCTTTGATATAATTGGCACTTACCAGTTCCTTTATTGTGTTCATAAGAAATCTGGTTCTTGACCCGTATGGTAAAGCATGCCTTGACAGTATTTTTGGGTTCAATACAATGCAGAAAGATGGACACATAACGGCCGGCTCCTTTTCCGTTTCCTTTCGGGTAAAGTCTAATCTTCCTAAAATAAAAAAAAAAATAATATAGTCATGTCAAACTAATTATTAAGCTATAACAAAAAGAAATTAAATATAGCTCTAATATAAAAATATAATACCAGTCTTGGTCTCCGGCAATAAATTTTTCAGATTCCCAAGCACCTAGCAGTTTGGAGAAGTTTGAAATCTTGAAATCATGCTTGTAAGGGATATCAACATTCTTCAAATACAGACATTCAGTCACCGCTTCTCTTTTGATGACGAAAACCTCAGCACCAAACACACACTTGTCATCGACTAGATATCCGTTTGATGGATCCAACAAAATTTCCTTTGAAATAAATTTTGAAAATCCCCATTCCGACTTCATTGCATGAAAACGCCTTGTTATTCCTGCCAACAGACAGTTATTGCAAAAAAATAGGTATATTTATATTTGGTGGTACTGTAAATGAGGGTAGTTTCTTATTTAAAGAATTAAGATAAACATACCTAGTGAAGGAAGATAATTGTCGGAAATTTGATCAAAGAGAAAGATGTTGAAGACAACATTGACCTCAAAGTTTGCCGGCAATGAACTTGTGTCCGCCATAGCCAAATGTACGGAAACATAGTCGCAATCTTCTCCGACAGTGTTGTCTCCATCAGGATAGATTATTAGTCTCCTGTATATGTTCGCAAATCGTTCATTACATGATGAGATTTTCATGCAAAAATTGCAATATGTACGTACTTAATGCAGAATATACCATTTGTATTCTCCAGCAGCAAATACTTTAGTCTCGTATTTCTCGATTCCACACTTTTCAAGCAAGGAGAAGGGTTCAATCTTGATTAAGAAATGTGCAGGTGTTGCGTCTCTTGTTTCCATGGCTGTGACTTCTGAAAAAACGAAATTGATTCAAAAATTTATTTCTTATATATATAATATAATTTTGTGAAGAAGAGAATATTCTCTTGTATACCATCATCTGCTGCTGATGATGTCACAGACATCGTGGTATTTGGATGTTATCTCTGTCGATTTGTGTCATGGTACAAGTTTTTATACCATATGATTTCTATTTAGTGTAATTATTGCCTTTAATAAATTGGTTTTATTATATTGTGTAATTCCCAAGAAATGACTTATTTGGTTACTCGTTAGTGTGTGATCAATACAACAATTGTAATTTCATTGGAACCACAACTTTAAAATATAGATCGGACAAAATAATTAAAGAATTTTCACACATCCAATACTGTAAGCCAACTTCAAATGAAAATAATTATTACACTATTAGTGAAAATGATCTTTTTATTTTCATTTTTATTTTTAAGAGTTATTTAAGTCATATTTTGTATCAAATTTTACTCCCTTTGTCCCATATTTTTTTTAAGGTTTTTTTTTTTTTTCCAAATTATTTGTTATTTTAGAGTTCTAACAAAACATTAATTATTTTTTTAATATCAATTTTGCCCATTATCACTTTTAATCAGTTAATTGAATAATAATTAATGAAAATAGTATTTTAGTATTATTGCTAATACTAATCGAGTAGAAGTGCTATTATTGCTCATGGGGGGGGGGGGGGGGGAAAAAGAGGCTTTAAGTTTGTAGTGATGTGATTGAAATCCAAAGAGTGTGAACGAATTATTATAGAAAATTAGCATGCAATGTATCCCAATAAACTTCAACTGACCAGTGGAGTAATTTAGAAAATTGCAAATTGGGGTTATATATTGAGAGTCTCTTTTGGGTGCGCACGAGATAGAAAATTGCAAATTGGGATTAAATCGAATTTTACTTGAGGAGTATACAATGGATGAGGTTAAAAAAGCGCTCGATGGTATGCACCCTCTAAAATCCCCAGGTCCCGATGGATTTCCCGTGGTCTTCTTCCAACAATTTTGGAGTGTGGTGGGCAGTGATGTATAAAAATGGGTATTAGCACTTCTCGATCGTAGAGAGCTTCCTAGGCCTGGTAATTACACCCATATTGTACTTATTCCAAAATGTGATAATCCAAGAAATATGACTCAGTTTAGACCAATCAGTCTTAGTAACGTGGTGTATAAAATTGCTTCCAAAGCGATTGTGAACCGCCTTAAACCGCATATGAATTCCATTATTTCGGATTCTCAATCCGCTTTTGTCCCTTCAAGGTTGATCTCAGACAATATTCTCATTGCTTACGAAGTTGTCTGCTACATGAAGTGGAGTACGGCGGAGCATATGGCCATTAAATTGGATATGAGATATGAGTAAAGCTTATGACCGTATTGAATGGTTGTTTTTGCGTGGGATGATGTGCAGGTTGGGTTTTCATAGCAATTTTATTGATCTCGTGATGCTATGTGTGTCAACAGTTACATACTCTTTTGTTCTTAATGGGCGTTCTTTTGGTTTTCTTGCGCCGGAGAGGGTTTTACGTCAAGGTGATCCAATATCTCCTTACCTATTTATATTTTGTGCGGAGGCTCTGAGTGCCTTGATTAAACGAGAGAAGCGTTGTGGCAATATAGCTGGCCTGGCAGTATGCAAGGAAGCTCCGGCGATATCACATTTGCTTTTTGCCGACGACATACAAAGGGCAAGGGAATTCATTGGGCTAAATGGTAAGATATGTGTTCCAGCAATGATTTCGGGGGCCTGGGGTTCCGAGATTTAAATGCTTTCAACACAGCCCTACCCGCTAAACAAGTGTGGCGTCTAATGGTCTCTCCTCACACAGCTTGTTGGGTCGAATTTATAAGGCGAGGTATTATCCGCAATCTAATATTCTTGATGCATCTCTTGGGTCAAATCCGTCGTACACATGGAGGAGTATTTGTGGTGCTATAGACTTGCTAAAAAAAGGCACTCGTTGGAGAATCGGGAATGGAGAAAATGTGCAGATTTGGGGTGATAGATGGCTTCCGAGGGGCAGTACATTCAAACCTTTCGAAGAAGATATTAATTGTATTTTGTCAATTCCGCTTGGAAGTTCCATCAACGAGGATAAACTTATGTGGCATTATAATCAAAACGGATTGTTTTCCGTTCGTAGTGCCTATTATATTGTTGTTCAGATGGAGAAAGAAAAAGATGGATCGAACTTAGCTTCTAGCTCTTCGTCGAATTTTTCGGGTTCTTGGAAATGGCTACGGACTTTGAAACATCCTAGTAAAATTAATTTTTTTTTGTGGCGGTGTTGTAAAAATCTTCTTCCTACTCGATTAAATCTTATTAAATGTAAGATCATTGAGTCAGGATCATGTGATTTATGCAATGTAGGCGATGAGGATGTGTTACATGGCCTAGCTCTCTGCACCTTCGCTAGACAAGGTTGGGCATTGAGTGGGGTACCATATTCGATCCATTGGCCGAAGGAGAAATCGGTTATTGAATGGTTTTTTTATGGATGAAACAACATCAAGATAGTGCACAGTTTGAGTATTGTGTGGTTCTATGTTGAGCGATTTGGAACACTAGAAATAAGAAACTTTTCGAGGACATGAATAGATCGGCTATGGATAGTATTTTGTTTGCGAAAAAATTTATATCGGATATGCGCGGCCTATCTTCGGTAGTAGTCCACGTCCATTTTACTCTAGTAGAAGATCACCTATTCGGTGGGAGGCACCTCCTAGTGGTGTCGTGAAAATCAATTTTGATGTTTCTTTGTGCTCTATTGATTACGGATGTGGTTGGGTGGTTTGGCCTGAGATTTTGATGGAAGATGTGTTGGATGGTATTCTATTAGTTGAAAACAATATTTTGATCCAGTCACAGCTGAGGCAATGGCAACTTTGAAAGCTTTGGAATTTGCTCGCGCTCATGATTTTCGTCGAGTTGCATTGGAGGGTGATTCAAGTATTATTGTAGCAACAATTCGTGGTGAAGACGATTCATACACAAGCTATGAAAATTTGATCAACAACATTAAACGGCTAGCTACAACTTTTGAAGAGTTTCATATTTACCATATTTTGAGGGAAGGGAATTCTGCAACTCATGAAATTGCTAAACTATCTGCTTGGAGTCCTTGTAACTCTAATGCTCTTCCGATTTTATTAAGGATATTGTATCCTCTGAATCTTCAAGTTAAATGAAAATATTATATTTTCCTAAAAAAAAACTATTTATGTTTTTTATATATAATTTATGCGTATTTATTGAATTTCTTAATATTCGTGCAACAACCCAAAATGACATTTAATATGGGACCGAGGGAGTAACTAGTTAGAACTTTGATTTATTTAGGGAAAATTACATTTTTCATTCTCAAACATTACCCATTTTTTCGATATTGTCCCTAACGATTTTCGAGTTACAATAGTGATCCCTAATGATGCCATTTTTCACAATTTTCGTCAAACCGTTAGTTTATACTGTTAGTTTTGATGGAAACGTCGCCATGCATACTGGTAGAGAACCACGCATTTTGACTTTGCAAGAGAATCACCAAGCACATACATAACTCCTGGAAAACCCATTTCGGATCTCCCAAAATTAAGTTGGTAATACAATATATTGCGTTGAAGTTATTTCAACCTTTACAAGAAAAGCTCAAATTTGAACTAAAGAAACAATCATTTACAAGTTATTTCCCTTGTGTAGTTGTGCACACAAAACAACAGATACACACACATACACTGATACACACATAACCAGCGTTGATAAACAAGATGAAAGCCATATAATTAATGAATACATATACAAATAATTTTCTTTCGTTCTCTATAACTTAATGAACTTAATTATTAATTAATAATGACTCCTATTTGGACATTCCGGTCAAAATTGACTTAATTACTAATGCTAATGCTAATGCAAATACTAAACTCAATACTAATGTTGATGATAATGCTAATAACAATGTTAATTACTTTTACTAATGCCAATACTAATTTTAATGTTAATATTAATGCTAATGCTAATGCTAATACTAATACTAACGTTAATTCTAATTCTAATTCTAATATTAATACTAATATTAATTCTAAATTCTAATTCTAATTCTAATGCTAATGGCAATGCCAATACCAATACCAATACAAATATCAATACCATTATCAATACCAATATCAACCACAACGGAAAAACTAACGGAAGGTACCCCTATCAAGCACAAGACATTTATGTGCTGATATTACGAGCACAAGGAAGTCATATGCAAAAGTTTGCAACCACATGGGTCAAATGTTATTTACCATAAGTAATAAAACAAAATCCTCTCAGGGAAGATAGAAAAGAAAGAAACGAGTCGATTATCAGAATCTTTTATTTGTAGAGAAAATTATCTATTTGCAGCAAGTAAGGGATATTATTTCTTACTTTGACCTAATTGAGTCCATTATGCAATGGATATATATTGTACTCTTTTACATTGCACAAAGGCTACTTTTCATATTACAGAATTGACATCATATATGATTGTCACATTGCTCCTTCTTTTTTGGAGTTCACTATTCGTTGTCGCCATTTTGTCTTCCCCGTTTTTCTTCGTACTCTTGTAATGTTGTTTATTGTCATTCATCTTCAATCACCTTTATTCTTCGTTGTCCGGTCCAACCACAACACAACTCACTATCAGCTTATGTTCGCGAAATGCAATATTTTGGAGAATGTTTTATAATGGTTATTGATATTTATCCAAGAAATTTATCAATATATCCATGTTAATAAGCACAGTACATTTGTAGTAGGACTAAATATTTGTCGGGACCAAGCGTGACGAATAACATACTATTAAACATTAAAAACATTATTTAGTTCAAGATTGAGATCAATATGAAATAGCTAGGACAGAGATTTCGACGTCTAAAAGACAAGAGTCATCCACAATGAATCCATTTTTAGGATCATTTATAGTTGCAATCTCAATGAATGAAAGCCATCCCCAACTACTGCTAGTAGAACCTGAAAACCATTGAGTACCTGCAAAACAGACATGTACACACTGATAATAAGTACTCGTCATCTTAAAAGTTAACGACAAACTGAAAAAGATAATCCGTGAAAAAAATATATACGTAATACGAGGGTTAAATAATTTAGTGCAATTTATTCCAATAATCCCTACATATTCTAACTTCTAAATTTCAACCATTTTTCGAACAATGTTTTTGACGTTTTACTGAAATTAAAGAGTAAACTGATTTTAAGATCATTCAAAAAATCCTAGAATAAAACATCGATTCAGCAAATTGTGCGCACTTACCATTTTTTTTAAGGTTTTCATCAGAAATCTGGTTTTTGATGCATATGGTATGACATGCTTTCACACTTTTGGATTCGACGCAATGCAGAAAGATGGACACATAACGGCCGGTTGCTTTTCCATTTCCTTTCGGGTAAAGAATAATCTTCCTAAATTTATCAACAATTGAATAGTCATGTCAAATTAATCAAGCTATGAAAAACATGACTATTATTATATATATATAGTTGTAATATTAGAAATATAATACCATTCTTGGTCTCCAGCACTAAATTTTTCAGATTCCCAAACGCCTAGCAGTTTGGAGAAGTTTGAAATCTTGAAATCATGCTTGTAAGGGATATCCACATTCTTCAAATGCAGAGTTTCAGTGACCGCTTCTCTTTTGATGACGAAAACCTCAGCACCAAACACACACTTGTCATCAACTAGATATCCGTTTGATGGATCCAACAAAATTTCTTTGGAAATAAATTTTGAAAATCCCCATTCCGACTTCATTGCATGGAAACGCCTTGTTATTCCTGCCAACAGACAATTATTGCAAAAAAATAGGTATATTTATATTGGGCAAATTACGGCCACCCCTGAGGTACGACCAAATTACGAGAAAAAAAACCCTCTTGTTTGAGTAATTACAGCAACCCCTCAATTTTTTTTACACAAAATTCATGTAATCCAGTTATGTACCAAACCAAATCATATATTCAGTTCCGTAAAAAACGAGATAAATTGTTGGCGTACCGAAATTTCAGTTCGATTTTACCAATTTAACATCTCTAAATTTACCTCTAGAGGAGTATTTTCGTAAGATAATACATAGTTGAGGGTGGCTGTAATTACCCAAACAAGAAAGGAGTTTTAGTAATTTGACCATAACTTAGAGGATGACCGTAATTTGCCCATTTATATTTCGTACAGTAAATGAGGCTGTAATTTGTTATTATTTAAAGAAGTAAGATCAGATGAAGAAACATACCTAGTGAAGGAAGATAATTGTCAGAAATTTGATTAAAGAGAAAGATGGTGAAGACGACATTGACCTCAAAGTTTGCAGGCAATGAACTTGTATCCGCCATAGCCAAATGTACAGAAACATAGTCGCGATCTTTTCCGAAAGTGTTGTCCCCATCAGGATAGATTATTAGTCTCCTGTATATGTTCACAAATTGTTCACTACATGATGAAATTATCATGCAAAAATTGCAATATGTACGTACTTAATGCAGAATATACCATTTGTATTCTCCAGCAGCAAATACTTTAGTCTCGTATTTCTCGATTCCACACTTTTCAAGCAGGGAGAAAGATTCAATCTTGATTAAGAAATGTGAAGGTGATGCCTCTCTTGTTTCCATGGTGGTAACTTCTGAAAATAACGAAATAGATTCAAATAAATTTTTTTAATATAAAAAATAGGAAATTATTATGTTGGTACATACCATCTGCTGCTGATGTCACAGACATCGTTGTTCCTTTTCAGAAATTAATGGAATTGGATGTTTTCTGTTGATTTGTGTTCTGGTATAAGTTTTTATACTATGATTATATTCATGACCTTTGGTGTAATATAAATTTAATATATTGGTTTTATTATATTGTGTAATTCCCAAGAAATGACTTATTTGTGTACATCAAGCCTTTCTCACTTCCCAAACACTGCTACAATTACGTTCAAAGAGAAGTTATATGGTTGGCGATCAATACAACAATTGTAATTTCTTTGGAACGACAACTTGAAAATATAGATCACACAAAATATATATATATATATATATATATATATATATATATATATATATATATATATATTCACACGTCCAATACTGTAAGATAACTTCAAATTAAAATGATTATTACACTATTAATGAAAATGATTTTCTTTTTCCAATAAACTTGTTACCCGATGTCCGACTAAGAAACGTCCGATATTCTAAAACTATGAACCCCGCAAAACCAATACGCGGTGTCTGACAGTGGGGAAGCCAGTGTAGGGCCAGGGGGCCATGACCCCCCTCAAATTTTAATTTTTTATATTACTATATATGTATGTATAGTTTTTTTGGCCTTTGATTTTGTTCTCACATATCATAAATGCATCTAACAAGTAGGATAAAGAAGTTACGAATTGTGACTTGGATCTACAGGCGAATCCATCCTTGGGAAGTGATGGACTCGAGTCATCCTCAATTGTAAAAAATTCACCATTTTTTTATTTTTTAATGCACCTAAAATCCAAATAAATGCAAAAGAAAATACTGAGTTTTTCTTTTCCCATCTTCTGGTTTTGTATTAAAAAAAATCCAAATTTTGTTTCAGGGGTGCCGAACTCCCAAAACATTAAAGTTCACCATGTAGCAACATCTTATATTCACCATTGTTGGAACAATCATTGTTTTCATTAATTTTTTTACGTTATTTTTTAATGCATATTCCGCCCTCCTAGTAATGAAATTCTGGCTTCGCGTACTAGTGTCTGATATTCTAAAACTATGCACATTGACATTAAAATGCATTTCATTAGAGATGTAATTGTTCACGGTAGAGGTTAAGAAGATTGGAACTTAAGATAACTCGGTTGATGCAATGACTTAAGTCATACATGCGGAGAAATTCAAGTGCTGTATGAATACGGTACAAGTTCATGGTAAACATGAACTGCATGCTCTTGAAAATTGAAGATGCGCATGGACAAACAACTCGAAAGAGATCAACTAAAAGTATGGACTAAGGTGAGCTGGCCATTGACAAGCTAGGAGATATATAACCGGTGTTGGAGTTGTAAGAATTATTGAAAGGTCCACGTGGCAGAAACTGATTGGGAGAAGAAATTTGTAATCAATTTGGAGTTGATTTAACCGAGAGGTCACTTATTGATCACTAAAGCTTCATTTGGATTGAGGGATTTGAAATGTATGTATAGTTACTAATCGCTTTCAATTATTTACAAATCATAAGAAATTAAAATAAAAAAATAAAACCCGTTGAACCGGTCTAACCATATTGACTGATCTCGCTGTCTATTTCTATGTCCGGTCCGGTTTTAAAAACATTGATTATTTGATTATTAGGCTCATTTCGTTATATACTTCAGTAGTGAACATGCAAAATACTGCTTCGTTGTCATTGCGCGTGAAATGCAACAAGCAATAGGGACATACATGTAGATAAGCACATACAGTTTAATACGAATAAACATTTGTTGGCATGGTGAAGAATAACATTCTCTTCGACAAAAAGAAAACACATTTAATTCAACATTGTGCAAGATAAGGGTACGTAGATCATTGTGAAACAGCTAGGATAGAGATTTCAATGTCTAAAAGACAAGAGTCGTTCACAATGAATCCGTTTTTGGGATCGTTAATTGTCGCAATCTCAACGAACGAAGGCCATCCCCAATCAGTGTCGGAAGCTGAAAACCAGTCAGTTTCTGCAACACACAAGTGCAGTATTTAATGAGAAATATTAATTCAAGAATAACTAACAAGTGTCTAGGAATATAAGTTAGGGCAAATTACCAAAACCCCCCTGAGGTAAGGCTGAATAACGAAAATCCCCCCCATGTTTGCGTAATTACGAAAATCCCCCTTGACTAACGGTTGACCAATTTTTTTTAACAGAAAACGTGAAAAGTCTATTATACCCTTCTGTTAAATATGTAAAAAATAAAAGAAAAAAGACAAATTACGAAAACCCCCCTGAGGTAAGGCGTAATTACGAAAATCCCCCTCAATGGAATATTATGATTTATTTGTATTTAATATATACTTTTTACATTTCGTTTGTTTAAAATTGAAATATAATTAAACAAATATTAAAAATTATTAAAAATATTTTTACCGTAAAATAAGAAATACGAGAATATTTCAAAAATATGTAAACTCGTTTTGATTGAATAAAAAAATATAAAATATATAAAAAAAAATACAAAACAAGTAAAAAAAATTATGTTACAAGATATGTTTAATTATTTTATATATTCTTTTTGTATATTTTTAATAATTATAAAATGAAGAAATACGTTAGTTTTAAAATTAAAATAACTACGTTTTTTAAGTATTATAAGCCCCCCTACGGTGTTACTTTTGACGAAAAAATATAATAAAACATTGACAATTACCATAATATTAAAAAACTATTAAAAATATTTGTAGCATAAAATAAGAAATACGAGAGTATTTCAAAAATACGTAACCTCGATTTTATTGAATAAAAAAATATATAAAAAAATTAAAAAAGAAATAAAAACTTTTAATGTTATCTTTAATTATTTTATATACATTTTATCTTTTTAATAATTATAAAATGAAGAAATACATTATAGTTTTAAAATTAAAATAACTACATTTTTTAAATACATTACAATTTACCCCCTAAGTAATTAATATGCTTACAATTACCCCTCAAGGGCAAGAATGTCATTTTCGGAGGAATATTCCATGGAATCAAAAAGATTCCGTCAGAAGTAACACCGTAGGGGGAATTTGTAAGATGACAACATACCTCAGGGGGATTTTCGTAATTACGCAAACATGGGGGGGATTTTCGTTATTCAGCCTTACCTCAGGGGGGTTTTGGTAATTTGCCCTATAAGTTATGTCGTTCTGGAAACTGTTTCATTATTATGTAGTAAGATAATACAAAATATACTCGGGAAATTTACAGTTTTGACCCCTCAAGTTTGTAATAATTTCACATTTGGTCTCCCATGTTCACAAAAAATAAATTCGGTCCCTCATGTTTCAATAATTTGACAATTTTGGTCATTTCCGTCAATTTACCCTTTGTCTGTCAGTTACGGTAGCGATGGACACACATTTGATTCCGTTAGGTTAACGAAAAAGACTAAAAATGTTGAATTTTTTAAACATAACGGACCAAATATGTTTTTTTGTGAACACGGGGACCAAATGTGAAATTATTGCAAACTTGAGGGGTCAAAACTGTAAATTTCCCAAATATACTCCATTTCACAAGTTATAAGGCCATGCGCCATGATTGTCTTGGTATTTGCTATTTTAGACAGTGGCCAGTAACTTCCCAGTATTTTCATCATTAATCAATAAATTGCAGCATTTTGGTTAAATAAAAAAAATAAAATAAAAAAAATCCATAATAAGCACATGCTCTAATTTCCAACAATTTTTTAACAAAATTTTTGGCATATTTCTTTCGGGGAAATTACAGTTTTCACCCCTCGAGTTTGCACCGATTTCACATTTGGTCCATCGTGTTCACAAAAAACACATTTTGTCCCTTATGTTCCAATAATTTAACATTCTTTCCGTCAATTTTGCCGCTAGTCCGTTAGTTAAGGCAGTGATGGACACACGCTTGATTCCGTTAGTTTTAATGGGAATTTGACGAAAATGATTAAAAGTGTTAAATTTTCAAAACATAAGGGACCAAATATGTGTTTTTGTGAACACGAGAGACCATATGTGAAATCAGTGCAAACGAGGGACAAAATTTGTATTTTTTTCCCCCTATTTATGTGTATAGTTTGAGGGTGCATGTGTATAACTCTGATATAATTGCCACTTACCAGTTCCTTTATTGTGTTCATCAGAAATCTGGTTCTTGACCCATATGGTATAACATGCCTTGACACTACTTTTGGGTTCAATACAGTGCAGAAAGATGGACACATAACGGCCGGCTCCTTCTCCGTTTCCTTTCGGGTGAAGACAAATCTTCCTACAATTTTTAAAAGTATTAAAATTCATGTCAAACTAGCCACGATAAGATTAGTCAAAATAAAATTAAATAATCTTCTGAAACCAAATTATATTATAAGGCAAGATAACCCATTATAACATAATATTTGCGGGTCGACCCAACAAGTTATTGGGAATACCAAACATGAAATAAAGTTCAATTATTTAGTTAGTCATGGCTATACAAAAAAAAAGTTAATGTATCTTTAATAATAAAAAGGGCAAATTGCACTTCACCCCCTCAAAAATTGGCGTTTTTGCACTTTCCCCCCTAGAAATAGAAAAACGAGACTGTCCCCCTTAGAAATATATAAGTTGGTGCAGTTTGCCCCAAGTCTCGATTTCCAGGCTAATTCTCGCCGGATTAAGGGTATACAAGTAATTGTACTTTTCCCTCTTCAAAATCCCGCGCTTTCACTTAGGGTTCTCCATGCCACAATAGTCAATTCCCAAATTGAACGACTCACAAAGCCACAAAGCAGAGTTATCCCCAATTCTTCAAGATTTCAGTTCCCCCAATGTTCAGATCAAAAGACAAAATATCATAGGTATGGAGAAAATTGTTACCTTTGCGGATCGATGGAAAACACCTGGTCGTTGGCCACGGATTCAATTGATTTTGGGAGTAAAAGAAGAACCCTAGGATTTTTTTTGCTATACGATCTGGGAGAAAAAGAAATTAATTTATTAATTTATTAATAAATTAATAAATATTATTAATTTATTAAAATATGAAATTTTGACTTGGATTTAAACACATAAATTATAAGGGTTTTTTTTGCAAAAACCACCCCTATGTAATCTCGAATTGCTGAAAAACCCCTCGTGTTAAAAATATTAGCACAAAACCCCCTATGAAAAATAGTCAAAGCCAAAAAAGACCCTACGAGCTCGATGTGTTATACACTCGCGCTTTATGCGACTGGGCCTCGTATTTTGGAACGAGAAAGACCTAAATACCCTTTAAATCAATTTTTGAAATTTATAAATTTACCCAAAATATTTTTCATAAGCTCAAAATGAAGTTTTCAGAATTTTCAATTCAATCCCCACTGATTTCAGAAAAGCCCTCTCTCCAAATTGCATAGAACCAAATTGCAATTTTCATAATTTCACAAAACTTCATCATCTTCTTCCTCTCTCCAGATCTGCTCCTCACCAAATAAAAAAAATAAAATAAAAATAAATAAAACAAACAAAAACCAGCAATTCATCTTCATAACCTTCCCATTTGCAAAAGAAGAAAAAACGACCAAAGAGAAATTTCAGATGTCTCTGCATTCGGTCTCCATTTCACGTGTTGTACACTACCGGAGCGTTCCATTTCCGAAGCCAGCAGGTGGCTGGTGAGGTTCCACCGATGGAACTTTCCAATTCCAACAACGACCGCGTCTACGGATTTTAAGGATGAATTTCTTGTGAAATGAAGCCCGAATCCATAAAGCCTTCAAGGATTTGAATCCTTGACTCCATATTCAATTTCATATTTGGGAAGAAAATAAGAACTCTGATTTGGTTGATTCAATTTGGGGGAGAAATAGAGAGCCTAAAGTGACGAAATTACCCTTTTAGATTACTCAAATCCGACCAAAATTTCATCGGAATTATACTTTTGGGGCAAAGTGCAACAAGTTGTGTATTTTGAAGGGGCAATGTCTCTTTTGCATATTTTCAGGGGGGAAAGTGCTAAAATGGCATTTTTTTTGGGGGCAAAGTGCTATTTACCCTAATTAGAAACACCAACAAAAAAATTGTTTATCGAACACGTTGCAAACAACAAAAAATTACACAAAGTGTTTGTAAAATGTAACTTACGACATACCTTGCAAATTGTAAACCAGGGGAATCGAATCTCAACACCAAACGCAAATTTTCAAACAAATAATGAAGTTAAACTAACCTGCAAACGAAAATTGCTAACAACAAACGATGGGAAGGTTCTACATACGGGAGACACAATGCGAATTTTGGCTAGAATTTTGGATTTTTGAATTTTTTTTAGGAGAGGGGAGGGGATGTTTGTTGTTCTCTTTAATTCTTTCACCAAGAAATCATATCATAACCTAAAAACATCCCTGTTTTTTTCTTCTCTACAATATTTCTTCATAAAAAAAAAAGAAAAAAAAAAGAACAGAGAAGAACTAGAGAGAGATGCTTGAGTGAGATCTAGAGGGAGAGAGATGAGGGATTAAATATCGGGTGAGAGAAACATGAGATTGGAGAGAGGGGATATATGAGATTTGTTTTCTTATTAATTGAGGGTGTTTATGTCTATATATTAATTATTTTATTTTAATTATATTATTTTTTTGAGTTAAAGGACCTATACATATATTCATCTAGCAACTAAGATCTCTATCTATTTAAGTCCAAAATAAGGGGTATCTAGCAAATTTCCCCAAAAATAAATTATGGAATAAATAAGCTTTAAGCTTTTGGTTATACATTTGATGTTAATTTATGCTTTATCGACTGTCTTTTTTTCTCTCCGACGAGAGAGATATTTGGTTGTACCAAGTGTTGTGGTATTCGTTTGAACAAGTATAAAAACAAACAGAAAAACATCTAATTCTACTACAAAAATGATCTTGAGGGGGAAAGGAGATAAGGATTACATAGAGAAACAAATGAAGAAACTAACTACAAGTACATGCAAAATTGAGGTGAACTAATAAGAGAACCTATTAGAGCTTTCTTATACGACTCAGTTTCCTTGTCTTCATTTCTCGTCTAGAATCAATCGGCGGTGGCTCCAACAGCTCAGTACAAGTGGCCAAATATTGAGCCCGATAACTAACCCTCATTAGGAGAGTTGGTACCTACTATCTGCTATTAAAGTTGAAGTTTAGGGTTCGAATCCTGCCCCGACACCTGCTTCCCTAATCAAGAATGAAGTAACTTAACACTGTCATTTAAATTGTTCCATTATTTACTTTAATGTAGAAGTGAATTGCATTTACTACGCCTATGAAATTTGCAACTGCGCGATTCCACCTGTCAAAAAATTAGCAAATAACCCTCTATAATTATTAGTTAGAGGCGACCCCCCCCCCCCCCCCCCCCCTCGCGGAACTGATCGTGTGGGTCACTCGCTGCGTGTGCGATTTTTTCTTCTCTTTTGCTTATGAAATGACAAAAATACCCCGTCATTTTTTGCAATAAAAAAAGTCCAGCCCTTAAACATATAGTTTTCAAAGTTAAGGAACTAAATTGAATTTAAAAAAATGCAGGGGTTAAATGGCAATGTTTCAAAATTTAATTAAAATCCTAAACTCTATCCCCTAATTTCTTTCCTCGTCTTCTCTTCTTCCTCTCCAAAATTTCTGGACCCGGAGAATTGCATGGATTAGCTTAGGAAGACCGACGGAGAGAGGTTTGTGGGCAGCTGAAGTGGGGTGGTTGTGGGCGGCGGATTTGCAGAAGGTGGTGTTGCGGTGTTGGAAGTGTCAGATGGAAGGAAATGTGTCGGAGTTAGAAAAAATTCTTCCCTCGTCGAAGGTGAACAAAATGCGGGCAGTGGTGGAGCAAAAGCAGTTGAGGGGCATAAATAGTGGATGAAGAACTGTGAGTTTGGGTGGGATGGGGTGGGGGGAAGGGGGTGTGCGTGGAAGATGACTTGCTTGCTTTTTATTTTTATTTTTTATATATATTTATATTTAATAATATTTTGTGTATTTTTATTTGTTTAAAGTAGAAATAAAAATAAGATTTCATTTAAGCTGTTAAGCATAACGAAAAAATTTCCAACATGTAGTATAACAAACCTACTCAGGGTAATTTGATCTTTTCACAACTGGTCAGGGGAAAATAAAAAAAATGGGTTGAATTTGGATCCTTAAAGTAAGCGTAGGGGGTATTTTGGTAACTTTTTTATGATATTGAGGAATTGCACAGTTGCGAATTTCACAGGGGTAGTAAATGCAATTCACTCTTTAATTTAGTGATGTAATTAAATAGTATGAAATGAAGAAATTTAGTGATAGACTGATAGCAGGTTTTAGTTTCTTGGGTTCTGACATCAAAGACGTAATTTAGAGTGCGCGGATTACGTTGATAAATTCTCAAGAATAAGAATACACTCATTTTAATATTTTGTCATTCAGTAAGAAGATTGTGAAATTTGTCCAGGCAATTTCAGTTTTTAAAAATATTAATTAATTAATTAATTAATTAATATGTCAAAATGTCAACAGAAATACTTTCAATGAAAATTATCAAATATATCATGTAAAAAAGACCAACTGAAACCGCAACCGCAACTGAAACCAAAACTGAATCGAACAACAGAAAAACATTCTATTGTACAGGCACAAATCTTAGTTATAAATATATATATATATATATATATATATATATATATATATATATATATATATATATATATATATATATATATATATCGAGATAGATGATAAAGTGCAGCTAATAGCTGAGATTATTGGGCAACATCTAATTTGAGAGATGAGATTTCAACATGTAGAAGACAAGTGTCATCGACAATGTATCCCTTTTCCGGATCGTTTATAGTAGCTAGCTCAATGAAGTTAGACCATCCCTGAGAATTTGTGGGGGGAGCTGTATAGAAGAGATCGGTTGCTGCAAGAAAAAAAAAAGATGTGTAGTTAGTTCCATGAGAGAGGTTCATTGACAACAATATTTCACAAACACTGATATTGATGTAACTTACTAATTTCTTTGATGTGTTGATTCGAAACCTGGTTTTTGATACATAAGGTATAACATGCTTGCACTCTTTCAGAACCGAGATTGCGCAAAAAGATGCTAACATGGCTGCCCGCTCCTTTCCCGTATCCTTTCGGGTAAAGCTCAACAGTCCTTAATTTATCAACAAAATTATTCGTGTCAAACGAATGAATAAGTACAAGGATAAAAGGGTAACTTTTACTTTCTCCCGTTGTACTTTGACTCGATATCACTTTACCTCCTTCTACTCTCGATTTGCCCCCCATACTTGAAAAATAGTCTCAATGTGGCCCTCGTCGTTAGCTTTCAGACTTTTGACCTTAACACCGTTTGATCTAAATCTGAAAATTACAAAAAAATCACCCCTCACAGTTTAAATATTTATTAAAAAAAATAATAAATTACGGTTGGCGCCGTGGACTATGTTTTCTCGTTGTCTTGAATTTTTTATTATTTTATTTTTGTTTTTTCAATTTTTTGTGTTTTTTTTAATAATTATTTAAAATGGGAGAGGTAGGGGATGTTTGGTTATGTATCCAAAACGAATTTCTAGTTTTCAAAATTTCTGATGGAAAAAGTAGATTATTGGTTTTTGTGTAGAAAATGGGAATATGTTTGGATGAAAGTGTATTTTTAGTTTTATGTAGGTGTAGAAATGAGAATATGTTTGGTTGTGGTGAATTTTCTCTACGAAAGTACGTGCAAAAGTAGAATAGAATGATTGATGATGATGATGATGATTATTATAATTATTATTATTATTATTATTATTATTATTATTATTATTATTATTATTATTATTATTATTATTATTATTATTATTATTATTATTATTATTATTATTATTATTATTATTATTATTATTATTTATTTATTTGAAGGTTCCATGCTGGCAACACTCAGAAGTTATTATATGAGATGTCAAAGGAAGAGCTGGATAATTCATAAAACAAGAGATCCAGACAAAAATCTCCTTTACCAATAAGTCCACACGCTCAAGATTTTTGTAAAAGACTAAAATAACCCCTCATATTTTTGTAAGCCAAATATACAGACATATTTTTTTTTTCTTCCGGATTTTTTCGACCGTTTCCGGCGTTGATCGGCGGTCAACGGCGGTCTCCGGCTTTAACTTTTTCGATTTTTTTTTCTTTTCATTCTTTCAGTAACTTTTTTTTCGTTGAAACAACAATATTGCTGTGATTGACAGTAATATTAACAATATTACTGTTAAACACAGTAAAATTAACTAAACTACAGTTTAACACAGTAATATTGCAATATTAATCTCTAGCACAGTAATATTAATACAACAAAACTCATTATTATTGTGTAATAGAGTAATATTACTATGTTGACCATTCAACAAATGTAAACATAAAGAAAAGCCAAAAGAATTAATATTACTGTGAGTGACAGTAATATTACTATAACAATAATAAAATTACCGTCAACCACAGTAATATGACAATAATAGACAATACTATTATTGTAGAGAGAATTTTCTCCTACGATTTTTATTCTTCTTGAGTTGTGTTTTGAATTGTGTAGGGAGGGTCCCTATTTATAGTGGTAGAATAAGAGTCCCACTTAAAGTCTATTTGATGATGTGGCGCGATTTGATTGGCTCTCTTTAAATTGATATTTATCTCTATAACTTGGAAGAAAAGAAATAATTCTATTGGTCAATAATTAATTGATAATTATCTCCATGACTTATTTTACAAATTAAATTATAATCTTGGGATTCAATTTAATATAATATAAATTATATTAAATTTACGTGTGTACACTTGTTTAAATCAGAGTTTAGTAAGATTGAATCTAAAATTCGTTATTGTTGATTATAAATTAGAAGAATAAGAGGAAAGGATTTTTATAGATTTTGAGTAAACTTTCTAAATTGAGAATTTTACCAAATTTGGCAGGTACCACTCAAATATATAGAAGTTTACAAAAGTGGAAAATCGAAAAATGTAATATGGCACTCGAAATGACGAGGAGATTATAACCATCACGAATATATAATTGTTATATTTTTTTTCATTTGAGAGTTATTAGGGATCTAAGAAAGATTATAGAAACCCTAAGGGTCCATTTGGATGGAGGGATTTGGGGAGGGATTTGATTTGGGGAATGGATTTGAAATGACTCCAATTTTAGAGTCATTTGAAATCCATCACTATTGCTCCAAAATCAACTAAAAGGAAGGGGTGGGGATTTGAAATCCATCTCCAAATCCCTCAATCCAAACAAGTCCGAGGGATTTGTTATTATGGATTTGAAATCCCTCCCCCAAATCCCTCCATCCAAATGCACCCTAAGAGACTTAGGCTATTTAAATTCTAGGCCAAGTAGGAGACTTACCTACAAGTCAAATAAACTCTATAAACAAGACCTCCGGGTTGAGAGAAAAACACGCAATACAACACAAGTAAAAGTCACAATACAACACAACACAAATGAGAACAAGCTCTCTTCTCTCTCTCCTTTTCTCGGCCGCCCCTCTCCCCTTTCCGCCGTCATCTACCGGAAACCGTTTTTCTTTTTCTTTTACCTATTTTCCCAATAGTTTTCTAGTGCAAAATATTTGTGGATTAATGTCATCAAGGTGAAATCCAATTTCCGCGAAGAAGATTGGTGTGGAAATTGCTTAATTTATAGATGAATATATTGATCATAGAGTTTGCATGATATAAAAAAAATTAAACTTTCGCTGCGTGTTCATATAGATCGCCAACAAAATATACATACCACTTATAGTCTCCAGCCACAAATTCCCTTGTTTCATATTTGTCAATTCCAAACGTGCCAAGCAAGGAAAACGATTCAATCTTGATCAGAAAATGAGCAAGTGGCGCCTCTCTTGTTTCCATTCTTGTGAATTCTACACATAGCAGCAATATGTAATCAATATGTATTGCATATATTATGAAAGAGAAAAAAAAAAAAAACACAGTTTTGTAAATATCATACATACCATATGCTTCTGATAACACAGGAATCACAGACATCATGTTTCTTTCTAATTGTTTGTTTCCTACTTTGAGGTTCTTTATATCATTTTTGTACCATAACCCTTGGTGCAGTTTGACTGGCCTACAAGAGTTGACATATATAATTGCAATAACAAAGTCAATGGTGTTATTTGACAAAAATAGGTAACTAATAATATGTCATACGGTTCAAATGACAAACTCAATGGTGTTATAATCTACCTATATCTATTCTACATCTATATAATCAAATTATGAAAACCCCCTCTTGTTTGGATAATTATATCTATTCTTCAATTATGAATCTTCTTACATCTCCATCCTTATGGTGTCAAATTCAACATAATCATCTAGATTATGTGGAATGTGCTTTAGTTTGTACCCGTTTTGTGTAAAACTACAGTTTCTGATGCACCACAATTTGATATATACAAGTCAAAAAACACATTTTATGATCGTCTTGCTTTATAATGTGGAGCTAGAATGGGATAAAACGGATACAAAAGTGATAATATTCTATATAATCAAGAAGATTCCACTAAATGTGAAACTGCAAGGGTGGACGTGTAAGAAAATTTATAGTTGAGGGGTGACTGTAATTTTGCCCCTATATTATATTATATTATATTATATTATATTATATTATATTATATTATATTATATTAATATTTATATTATAATATATTATATTATATTATATTATATTATATTATATTATATTATATTATATTATTATATATATATACTCTTATTAAAGTATGAATACATAGAGGTTTGCTTCTTTTTTGTATGGACAATAATATCCTTTGCATAGGTAAATTTGTAAGTACAATTTAGTCATATTCATTAAAAATTAATTAATAGACAAGGAAGACTTGTAACGTTTATGTCTTTATAATTAACACTTTTGGTAGCTACTCTAAAATCATTTATTATTAACAAATGACCAAGTATTATTGTATGATAATAATTATATACGACGTTCTTCATAGTCAAATTATACTTAATTTCTTTAATATATATATATATATATATATATATATATATATATATATATATATATATATATAGAAAAAGAAAAAATTAGAATATATAAAAAACACTTTCTTAGTAAAAAAATATTACGATTAATCACAAGTTCTATGGTGAAATCATTAAGTAAAAGGATTAATTGATCGTGAAAAAAATACAATGGGATAAAGGGCAAGAAAGACATTGTTGAGTAAATACAAACATTTATTCTAGATGTCCAATTAGTAAATATCTTAAATTGATAGTAAATGAATATAGTTAATTTCATTAAAACAAAAGCAATCATATAAATGCGTCTAGGTAAATACTGTTTCATGAAGCAACGACTTTAACATAAATAAAATAAGTCAATTACTAATATAGTTAATTGTCATAGGAAGAAAAATAAATCATAACACTAAAAAATCATATGATTAAAATGATTCTATTCTTCCAAACACCAAATAATAAGGTCTCAACAAATTATGATAGACAACTAATTACAAGGCACATATAATTGAGGCAATATAATAATTAACCCGGAAGAAATATGCAATAAAATAAATTATTATTTCCATTATTTATAACAATTCAGGATTATGAAACACCAAAAATGTAAAAATGTACATTTATACATGAATTTCATTGAATGACATAAAATTAAATAATTCAAGATTTTGAGAATAATAAATCCGTTATACAGATTAATGTGTTTAATTTTTTTTTTCTTTTTCATTATATGTTTTTGAGAAGATCGTAGTTTCGATTTGTGCCAAGGTTTCAAATAGAAAGAAAATAATATTTTTATTTGAATACCGTCTGTCAACCAATTTTTCGGAAATTCCGTTTCGGATAATGGAACACCATTATAGCCTATAGGTACATTTAACATGGATCTCTCTATTCCATTCATGTAAATCCTCCGACCATTCCGGGAATCGAAATAGAAACAGTAAATTTCATGTTGATAGCCTGCGTTAAATTCTTAACTATTCTTTTAATTTGGGGGACTTAAAAATCCATTTTATATAAACTTATTTGGAATAAAATCTTAAGCTATTTGAATTCACTGCAAGTGATGAAAACAAAGAATTAATGTAAAATCAGAGTGGAAACTATTTCCAATCTACACTTCTTAATTGAAAATTTAATCCTCACACGTTAAATTAGTTTAATCCTAACACGTTAGAGAAGCCAATAATCAACCATAGGCAAAATAAATTATTTGCTATAAGTTCATAACTGTGATAAAATAAATCCCACTAGCTTTATGTATAATAAATAAACTTGTAAGATAGAACCATTTCCTATCTACCGAAAGCAAACCGCCCAAAATAGGAGATAAAAATGGAGTTGAAATTTGTGTATTAGCAATATAAAATTGACGGTTTTTTTTTTTTTCAAGAACTACCCTTGTATAATTTTTAATTGTCAAAAAAACAATCGTGTTAAAAGAATTAGCAAAGACCCCTATATAAGTTAGTCAAAGCTGAAAAACCCCTTGCTTTTTCTGATGCCCAATCGTGGATTGTGCCGGTGGAGAGTGTTTTTGGACACGAAAAGTCAAACATACCCTTAAACTTTAAAATTTTGAAAATTATAGTTTCAACCCGGAAATTTATAAGTCCCAAATTAAAATTTTCGGCTGGTTTAAAATTTTGAAAATTATACTTTTGCCTATGGAGGCTGGTTTAATGTAGATTTAACAGGGGCATTCATTTTCCGGCCGAATCGAGCCGTACAACTTCGATTCCGGTGAAATATAAACGTGGTGGTCTTGCTCGAAATAGGTTCGAACAAGGCAGGCGTATCCCGGAACAAGCAGACGGCACCACTTTGATTGCGCGAGATGTCAGACATGAACACCGAAGTGCGTTGGAGAAAAGGACTTTCAGACTTTGGTTTTTGCTGCAAATGCTTTGCGTTTTCTTTTATTTCCCTTTTTTTTTTTAGTATTTCTTTTATAAAGGTAATTTTGTCAATTCACATAAGTCAACAATCAATTTCGAAATAAAGCACTAACTAGTATTAACAACTACTAGTAATATATCCTCGTGCACTGCACATGTAATATTCGAAAATGGAATAAAATAATTACTTAATGAAAATAAAATTTATTATCAAGAATATGTTACATTATATTACAATATTTAGTTGCCAAATTTACATTACAGTAATAGAGATTTTTCAAACATAACAGACACTTTTGTTACATGTCTTCCTTGAAAGGCTATTTCTAACACACTAAATTAGTTTGATACTAAACAAAGGTTAAATTGTTTAATTAGGTGAGAATGATTGGGCAGCATTATATTTTATGTAACCTTTGGAAGCATCATAATCCCAAATTACATAGGAGATCAGTTGATTCATTTGAAAAGATTCAACAATTTATGATGTCATGAACGACATAAACTAAGTTACAATTACATGTTCTGTTTTATGTTAATAATCTCGTTGATTCAACATGTTGGTGTTCCTGTAATAAAAAGAATAAGAGTAAACTCATTTTAATATTTCGTAACTCAGAAAGAAGATTGTGAGATTTCTCCAGGCAATTTCAGTTTTTTAAAATATTAATTAATTAATTAATAGGTCGATGCATACGTCAAAATCTCAAGATCGAAAGTGGGTTAAACTGAAATACTTTCAAAGAAAATCATCAAATGTATCAGGTAAAAAAAGAACAATAGAAACTGAAACCGAAACCGAACCGAACAATAGAATAACATTCTGTAGTACAGACACAAATCTTAGTTTATATATATATATATATCTCGATCGAGAGAGATGAAAAAAGTGAAGCTAAAAGTTGAGATTATTGTGCAACATCTAATTTGAGAGATGAGATTTCAACATTTATAAGACAAGAGTCATTGACAATGAATCCCTTTTCAGGATCAATCATAGTTGCAATCTCCATGAATTTAGACCATCCCCAAGCATTGTCGATAGTTATAAACAACCGATCGGTTTCTGCAAGAAAAAAAAAAAAAGATGTAGTTCCACGAGAGAGGTTCGTGGATGAAACACCGACAACAATTCACAAACACCGATGTTGATGTAACTTACCACTTTTTTTAATGTGTTGATCAGAAACCTGGTTTTTGATACATATGCTATAACTTACTTGCACTCTTTCAGAACCGAGACGCTGCAGATACAAGCTGACGTGGCTGCCCGCTCCGCTTTGAATTCCATTCGGGTAAAGAAGAATATTCCTTCATTTATCAACAAAAGTAGTCATGTCAAACGATGGAATAAGTGCAAGGATAAAACACATTACAAGAAATATATAGTTGTAATACTAGCCCAACAAAAGTACCACTTTTGCCCTCCTGCTGTGAATTCTTCAGATCTCCAATGCTCTTCCAATTTTGAGAAGTTTGTAATCTTCCAATCACGTTTGTAAGGAATGTCAGCATATTTTAAAGAAAAGCATTGAGTGACTGCTTCTCTTTTAACCACAAAAACCTCAGCGCCAAACACACAGTTGTCATCGACTACATATCCATTTGATGGATCTTTCAAACTTTCCTTTGAAATAAATTTGGAAAAACCCCATCGGGACTTCATTCCTCGGAAACGTCTTGTTCTTCCTGTCCCAATATACATGTGATAATTTGCTTATAAGTATTTTCCTCATATATATTAAAGTACCTCTTTGCAACTTAAATAAACTAACAGACGATCATTGGAATAAATCAGTACCTAGTGAATTTAGATACTTGCCGGAAATATGATTATAGAGAAAAATGCTGAAGATAGCATTCACATCCACCGGTAGAGAACTTTTGTCTGCCATAGCCAAATATACAGAAACATAACCGCTATCTTTTCCGACAATGTTGTCCCCATTTGGATAGATTATTAGTCTCCTGCACAAATTCAACCATCTTTTGGTTACTACTACATTTTATCACGTAGACAACGGTGTTGTTTAGAATCTGCTATGAACGAAAATTCGCCGAGGCGAGTTGACTCTGTCCTTAAGACGAAATTTTCCCACAACGGTGCTAACGGATTAAATGGAAATCGTCTCCCAATATACAACGGTAAGGCTTGGAATAGGAGCACTCCAAATCCCAAGTACGACGAACTGTACTTTGTGTAGAATTTTTGGATTGAAGTGAGGAATTCTGGAAAATACATGGTCTATTTATAAGGTTCAAAAAGTAGTGTCCTTTGGAGCAAAACAGGTACATTTTGAGCTGAATGGTTGCACCATTTCGAGTTGAGCCTATTGGGAGTGGTTGCACCATTTCGAGTTGAGCCGAATGGTTTGCATTGGTTCGGCCGCATTTCAAACCAGTCAGATCTTTCGAGATGGGCTTCGAGTAAGATGGGTTGACCGCCCATGACCTAATGTTTTTGGCCCAGCATTGGTTCGGCCGCATTTCAAACCAGTCAGATCTTTCGAGATGGGCTTCGAGTAAGATGGGTTGACCGCCCATGACCTAATGTTTTTGGCCCAAAAAATTAATGTATTGACTTGGGCCCGCGCCCAAATCCCAGTCCAATTCGTACTAACGAGCGCGCGTGTGGGCACACGATTTGAAACACATAACATGTAGGCCTTTCTCCCAAACAATGTTGAATGCACAAAGGGCGTGACCTTTGGTCCCAACATTTAGATATGTATACAGCTCAGTACTTCTCTACTTTTCCAATGTGGGATAACTCAAAATCCCAGTTTCCTTATATTTTGGATTAGTAATTTTTCATTCACCACAAAATTGGTTTTATATTAATCTAATCCAAAATTGATTCATATAATCAATTAGACCATACAATAAGATTGATAAAAAGTTGTTCAACTCAATTTTTAACCAATTTTCCCAACAGTCGCATCATATTTGATATATGTAAAAAGAACCCCTAAACAGATAAATACCAGTTATATTCTCCAGCCGCAAATTCCGCCGTTTCGAATTTATCAATTCCACATAGTTCAGACATGGAGAAAGATTCAATCTTGAACATAAAATGAGCAGGTGGTGCCTCTCTTGTCTCCATTCTTGAGAATTCTGCAGATAACAGCAATATAAACTAAATATATAATTATATTATTTATGAAAAAATAAAAGAAAGAAAGATTAATTAGTTTGTGAATATCATACATACCATGATCTTCTGGTAACACTGGTATCACAGACATACTTGAGGTTTGTTACTTCGTTCTCTACTTAGTTTGAGTTGAGGTTCTTTGTCATATTTTTATACTAATGTACAATTACCATAACCTTTGATGTAACTTGACTGTCTATAAGAGTTGACATAATCGCAATCAATGTCTTTTTCAGTTAACAAGAGCCGCATTGTTGCAAGTTGCAACACAAAGTCAACGGTATTTATTTGATGAAAATATAGGATAAATACGGCAAGACTTAATATACATGCGTACACACAAAAAACAGTTTCGCAAATAAACTCTTTCCCTACCTCTTGTGTAAAATACGTCTCATAATATAATTTTCATCAATTTCATCTATTATGCTCTAACTTCATTAATATAGCACATTAACCCTGGATTTGAACTAATATATCACATTAACTCCCATATTCGCATTTTTTTGAAATTTCTTTTTTGTAGAAAATAAAATTTCTTCTGAATTTTTCTTTCCGTCATTGACCCTTTTTTCTTTAATTTTTTTTCTACATAAATTCTTGTACTGTTAAACTGACTGAGACAGTACGTAATATTACTGTCCCAAATAGTAATATCACTATCAGAAATAGTAATATTACGGTCGGAGACAGCAATATTGCAGACTAAGATGATAAAATTAATTAATACATTAATATTACTCTGTTAACAACAATATCACTGTCTGAGACATTAATATTCCAATTAGAACAGTTATATTACTGTCTTTGACAATAATATTATTCCTACCTTCGACTGCAATATTATTGTCTCAGACAGTAATATTGCACGCCAAGACAGTCATATTAATGAAAAATTGTTTTCTTTTAAAATAAAAAATAAAAAAATCAACGACGGCTGACCGGCGTACACCGGCGGTGGTGGTAAAAAAATAGAATAAGAGTCAAAATTGATTAACTGGTGACATCGGTGTGTAAATCATGAAATTAGAGTTGAATTAGGATTTCAAGAAATTGGGGGTAATTTTTGTATATATGAAAAAAAAATTCTTATTAACAAATAAGTCCGAATGAGGTGGATATATTTACAAGACAAAAAAAAATAGGATTTTTTTTTTTTTTTAATTAAGTGCCTTACCTAAAAATAAATAACTAATATGTCATACAATTCAAATGGCAACGGCAAGGCAAAGGTGTCTTAAAACACGAAAAAATATGGTTTGATACCGATACTTTAAAAATTTTGAAAATAATAGATTCATTAGATATATTTAACTCTTAAAAGTTAAACCTTAGTTTTGCTGATATTTTCAAAGTGTTTTTAAAATTCAGTGCAAGTGGAAACAAAAATTAATGTATAGTCATAACTAGTGGAAACTATTTTAATCCCACATGAAATTTTATTCGCAACACACAAAATTAGTTTGATCGTAACACGTTAGAGAATCCAACAATCAATCATTGTCAATTATTTAATGGGAAAAATAGCTGTATGTTTAATCCTAACACGTTAGAGTAGAATCTAATTATACTCAAACTATTGAGATAGGAACGGGAAAAAATAGTGTTAGAATTATTTCGTGCAAATTAATTATAAATTTGTGTCCGATAAATCCCAGATTCAGTTTTAGCTACTGTTCTACTGTTTTACGAAGAGTTGCAACAGTTAATGGAACAGTAATAAAAAGACACAAATTTTAAAGTGGTTCGGATACAATTGTACCCTACATCCACGGGGACCTGCAAATGAAATTCACTAATTTTTAGTTTTACGAATACAGTAATAGGACTTAATCGAAAATGCAAAGACTCCCTCTTTGTCGACGCCGTTCTTGTATCCTACGCTGAATTGTGAATCTTCACTTTGCAGCACGTCCCTTTCCGCACGGTTGAAATTCCTTCAACGCTGAGTCCCTCAGTCGGCGGATCGACCTCCTCCCGAGATCTTCTGAGTTCTCCTCCCGAAGAACCGATCTTCTTTTCGGTGAAAGAAGCAAACTCCTTTTTCTGTATTTTCTTCTCGATTTAAGATCAGGAATTCTGGAGCAGCAACGTAAGAGCAGAAAATAGTTTTCTCTCAAAATAAAAGGGACAACGTATAAATAAATTAATGACAAAATAAGAGTTTAAAGAACTAAGGAAACTTCCCTAGTTTTTATACACGTTTTTCGCACACGTGTTGAAAAACCGAAATAGAATCCTCTCGGATTCTAACAATCTCCCCCTTTGTCATCTATTTATTATAATCAAGTCCTCCCCCTTGATCAAATACCTGACAAAACATTAGACTGCATAATAGAGTAACTGTTAGAACAGTTAAAGAAAACAGCAGTTAACAAAACAAGAAAAAAGTTAAGCCTAGCAGACTATTAGAGGCCGTTGTTCAGAAAATGAATTCGACAACCACAAAAAAAAAAACTAATCCAGAATATATTCAGCATCAACGAACAACTCCTCGTCATCATTCGTATCAACTTCAGCTGTTGTACCATCAACTGTTGGAACAGTTGGAGCAACAACAGTTGGATCAGTAGTAGTTCCAGCAGCTGCATCAGCTCCCCCTGTATGCGGTTCCTCCTGGGTTGATGCTTCGTTGTCAACTCCCCCTCAAGAATAATCTCCCCCTTTCTGAGCAAGGGCAGTAAAATAGTCGAGTTTCTTTTTCGTAAAAACGACTTCGACAATCAGAGACCCCACTAGGTAGGTTGGCATAAAAATCATGAACCACTTGACAGACGCCACCGGGTTTGATGCGCTCGGAGAAAGAACCGAGAATTAAAAGCATCGACAGCAGAGATAGGCACCACGGGATCCGGTGCAGAGTGACCTGCGGTGGTGCGAGTAGCGGAAGGCGAGGCAGAGTGAGTAACGCGTCGACGAGAGCGGCGAGGTGGCGGGTTGCAGGTGAGGCCGGTTTGGGTGGTGCGATGGCGGTGCACACGGTGGTGGTGACGATTGGGCAGCCGGAGAGTGTGGCAGCGGAGAAGGCGGTGGAGAATAGTTGAAGGGTGACGGCGGCGTCACTGGCGGCGACGGTGGCGTCACTAGCGGCGATGGCGGTGGAGAAACCCTATGACCCACAACAACGGGCAGATTCCCAAAATTCTCAGCAGAGGCAGCCGTGAGAAGGACCACCGAATTTTTTTTTTTTTTTTTTTTTTTTTTTTTTTGGCTCCCCGAAGACAGGGCGGTCATCGGAGCGGCCACGCGGCGGAGGAGCTGCCGAAGAAGAAGAAGAAGCAAACAGAGCAGTAGGGAAGAAGAAAAATTGGAGAGAAAAAAATTGAATACGGGATTCTCCAAGGATGACTGTTGCTCTGCTCAGGGGTAGTTTAGCAATTAGGAATAGTCAAGTGAGAGAATTGCAAATATAATAATTATGCTCATAATAAATTCAATTAATGAAAATCAAATTCAGATACAGCAACTCTCAACTTTCGCATATGAAGCCCAACACAGTTCAAAT